GCACTCCTTGAAATGGTCTTGCTGGCCATTTCCACGGAATTAAGGGTGTTGTGGGTGAAGTGCTTCTTACACTTTCACAATTTTTAACAATCATTTCAATATCAGCATCAACTTTGGGCCACCACACATAGGATCTTGCTATGGCTTTCATTTGACAGATACCTGGGTGTTCCCAATGTAACTCTTTAAGCATTCTTTCTCGCAAATTTGTGGGAATTATAACTCTCTGACCCCAAAGCAAGCAATTTCCAATGCAAGATAGCTCAAGCTGTTTAGATAAGCAAGGTTTTATGGAATTTTCTTCACTCATTATGTTACAGACTGACTTTTTTAGCCAGCCCTCCTTTACATATTTAAGGACTGTGGTCAGTACTTCATCTTTTAACTTGTCATTTTCAATTTCTTTCGCAGTCAGCGGGAAATCTTCCTCAATTACATTAACATAAAGCTTTTGTTCAAGATCTTGTTGCGATTCATCTTTACAGGGCAATCTTGACAGTGCGTCCGCAAGAACATTTTCCTCGGACTTGATATGCTCAATTTCATAATCATATTGGTTGAGAAGAATCGCCTATCTTTGAATTCTGCCAGCGGCTATCACCGGAACTTCACTTGTTGGACCAAAAATCTTTAGCAGCGGCCTATGGTCTGTTCTAATCGTAAATTTTCTACCCATTAGGTACTTATAGTAGCGCTTAATACCATAGATTATGCTTAAAGCTTCCTTTTCGACGATCAAATCAAATTTCAAATCGTTGAAATACTTCCTTTATTACCGCCAAGTTTTCATTTACTGTTTCAGTTCTGATGAGGACATCATCCTGATTACACAAGCAATTTTCAATACCATTCAATATCTTATCCATTTTGCCTTGAAAGATCTTTGAAGCTGGCTTTACACCATATGGTAATTTGTTGTATGAGTAAAGACCTTTATGAGTGTTTATCGTAACATAGCTTTTGCTCTGTTCATCTAAATTTAGTTGAGCATATGCATGGGACAAATCTAGCTTAGTAAAAACACGTTTTCCAGGTGATTCAGCATACAGGTCATCTGAGCTTGGAAGATTATACACTTCATCATCAATGAACTTATTGATTGTTACACTATAATCACCACAGATTCTAACTGTGCCATCAGACTTTGGGACTACCACAATTGGAGTTGCCCAATCACTGTATTTGACTTTATGTATTACATTGTTGTCTTCTAACTTTTTTAGTTCATTTTTAACTTTGCATTTGTTACCGGTAGCATATGGAACAAACCTGGCTTTAACATACACAGGAGTAACATATTCTCTAATATTTATGTGAGCTAGCTCATGTCTCATGCCATCATATGAATCTTCGAACAAGTTTTCATACCTTTTAAGCAACACATTTAACTCGGAATTACTGTTTCCGACTGTTTTAGAACATTGAGATTCATTTACATCATTCTGATGTGCACAACTGTTACCATATCTGGAGTGTAGATTTTTTACTATGTTTTTCCAGTCTAACTTAACCACTGCCATCCAATCAAGACCAAGCAATGTAGGCTTATACCTATAATCAGCAACACTAGCACTTAACTTGTGTGTTATACCCTCACGGTCGATGACATCACATTTGATTTTACCAATCACATTTAACTTCTCACCACTATATGTTCTAAGAGATACCATATCATTATTTGTAATTTCAATATGATTTAAATGCTTATTATACGTGTCAATGCTCATTACAGTATCATCTGCTTGAGTATCTACATACATTTCCAAATCAACACTGTTTACATTCAAGATTACTTTAAAGTGATCTCTAGACAATTTACCACTAGGATTATCAACATGATTCGTACACATAAACAAATCACTACTTGAATCACGACTATTATCATTATACAGTTCCCGCTCATCTCTCTCAGTTTGATGTACATTGTGATTTCTATCGCATCCACCGCGACTACCGTATCCATGGTTACCGCCTCTACCACGACCATATGAATAATTACTACAGCCACGCACTCTGCCTCGCATGTTTTGTCTGCCTCTGTAACTAACTGCTCTCTTATCAGCAAAACATTCACTAGTATAGTGTCCAACTCGCGAACATCTATAACAGGTTCCTATGGAACGCCAAAAGGACAAAATACAATTGGCAGCAGTGCAAAACTGAGAGTCACCACTGCAAAACTGAGAGTCACCAGTGCAAAACTGAGAGTCACCAGTGCAAAACTGAGAGTCACCAGTGCAAAACTGAGAGTCACCAGCGCAAAACTGAGAGTCAGCAGCGCAAAACTGAGAGTCAGCAGCGCAAAACACAGAGTCGGCAGCGCAAAACACTGAGTCACAGTGCAAAACTGAGAGTCACAGCGCGAAACTGAGAGTCACCAGCGCAAAACTGAGAGCCAGCTGCGCAAAACTGAGAGCCAGCAGCGCAAAACTGAGAGCCAGCAGCGCAAAACTGAGAGTCAGCAGCGCAAAACTGAGAGTCGCAGTGCAAAACACAGAGTCACAGTGCAAAACTGAGAGTCACAGTGCAAAACACAGAGTCACAGTGCAAAACTGAGAGTCACAGTGCAAAACACAGAGTCACAGTGCAAAACTGAGAGTCACAGTGCAAAACTGAGAGTCACAGTGCAGAACTGAGAGTCACAGTGCAAAACTGAGAGTCACAGTGCAAAACTTTGGTGGCAATGCAACTCAAGTGGACGCCCTCTATTTTGAATTAAAGTTTCACAGCTTTTTTGGACGGTGTCAACAAGTAAAATGGATGAAATTTTGAGGACACTTGGGCACTCCTTAGTGACCATTAACAATTTTGAAAGAGAGGGGGTGCGTATAAGCGTTATAAATAATACAAAAATTAAGTGTTTGAAATAATTAATCCAAGAATTAAGTACCGGTAGGCTAGGGCAGGGAACAGTGAAATTACACTGTTCCTTGGCTAGGGAGAAGGCTGGTAGTAGGCACATGTGCCCGGGCTTGTCAGAAAACAAGGCCTAAGTCTAGGCTAGACAAACATAAATGCCTCGACTTCGACGGCTTCTCAAGAAATATTTGTTTCCCTAAGTAAATATCACTTAACTGTCTAAATTTTCTGTTTTTTGTCATTTCTGGTGTCTTTGTTGATCCCCAATTGGTTATCTTTTTTTATTTATTTTGATTGCCCCTTGTATTCCTTGGCAAAAGGCGCTGACAAGTTCCTGTATTATTATTAACTAAGCCAGGCCTTGTCTAGGGTTTTGGGCCTACCTAGACCCAAGCTAGGCCTGGAATCCGTCGCTGAAATTATAATGTACTGTATTTACTGTAACAATAGACATCCCATGCGATTGTTGAGAAGGGTTTATTCGAACGAGGTGTTGAAAGGGAAGCGTTTATTTTTGTGTAAAATGGATAACTGACACCATTTTCGCTAAATTTGAAACAAAAATTTTTCTAGGCCTAGCATAGGCCTACCTCCTAATTGCCTAGGCATTTCGCATAACCGGTGACCGATGTTAAACATTCAAACCCCCGAACGTCCAAAAGTGGGACACATATTGATCCTGAAAGCGGGACTTTTTGTTCAAAAGCGGGACACACCGTGATTAATATTACAGATGAATTGTATACATAAAATATACTCAATAAATAATATAAAAATGTTTGGAGTGGAGTTTTTGTGGCCTTTATTATAGGTTTGGATAATTGTAAAAATTTAATAAAATAAGTAAAAATGAAAGCAGAAATGCAACAATCAACCTTAACAAAATAATATATATAATTTGCATCACTTTATTCTAATGCAACATACAGAACATACAGAAATTAAAAATGAAGAGAAACATCGCATCAAGAAAAAATATATATATATTTACATATGTGTATACAATATCGACCAAGTATAATAACAATAAGAAAAAAAAACATAAAATAAACAAACACATGAATTATTTAAACTGATAAATATTTCTTTCGTATCGCTATTAATCACTATATTAAAACGGCTCGTCGTCTGTCATAGTATCCATCGGGAGTCTTGGTATTATCGTGATTATTTGTTATATATAAAAGTTGAAAAGCGAGACAAGTAGGGGTATGGGCGGGACAGGAAAGGACTCTAAAAGTCGGGACAATCCCTCCGAAAGCGGGACAGTTGGAAGCTATGCCGATGTTCTTGTTATTAGTGAGTTAGTCTAGGCTAAAAGAAATTCCAAAACGAAAAATAGGGGCATAAAAACTGAAGTGTTTTTGGTTTTAGAGGTACTCAAAATAATATGTCTGAAGGAAAAAAAAGAAATTTGCAAACAACAAGGATGGATAACGCAAGACGTTGGTGACACTGTTTCAAAATTAACGCCTAATTAGTGTGTACTCAAATAAACGTCCCTTAATTCCACTATAAATGCGGAACAACAAATTACTGTTATAATGACTATAACTCATTCTTAGTTGAATTACAATAACAAACAAGAGCACCCAGTACAGAGCATACCGTATCACGGCTTACCGCAAATAGCTTTCTATGAAATTAATCTCCCAAAATATGTTCCTAATTTCCAACCACCACCCACTCAATCGATTGGTCATTCGGTCGGTCGATCAATGGATCGATAGATGATCAATCAATCAATCAATGCACTTCGCTCCGCTAATTTAAAACAACATCATCTTCAGCCCCAAACCCCTCCCCAAAATTAAACATCACCCCAAAACCACACTCCTGCATAACCCCATCCCTCCGTCAAAACTCCATCCCAGGGACAGGTTTAGAGTGAGCCCAGGCCGGCCACGGCTCCCCATTTGGAAAGTTAAAAAAAATAATTATAAAAAAAAAAGAAAAGAAAAATAAATAATTGATCGCTCCAAAGTTATTTTTTTATTTCGCATGGAAATGCCCCAAGACCTCCTAGGGTCGTGTTGCCTCACCCCAAAAACCCACCCACCCAAAACCCCAACCCAAAAACCCTAAAAAGTATGATCCTACTTTCCAATCACCAACAAAATAATTATTGCCAACAGGTTACAAAGGATTCAATTACTTTGTTAAGTCCCAGTGACTTGGAGGCACTAGGGGTGTATGGCCTAGGTCGTCAGGCTCTACTCAGAAGCCGTTGCAGGCAGGCGGCGACAGCTATTTCAGGTATATTGTATTTTATTTTAATCCATTTTGTTATTAAGCCTTTTATCATACGATAGTGTGGTACTAACGGAAGTCAATTTATTCGAAGAATGATGGTGTGCATTTAGGTGTGCTGCTTATGCTCACCTGGACCAAACAAATTGTCAAAATTGACAAAAATATAATGGTATAGAAAAGCGTTCTGTCTGAATAAGCACCCATCCAAATTGGAACATTTTCGTATTGCGCCCCGTTTGAATAAGAGCCTTTCCCCAATATAAACAAAATCTAGGTATTGGTAAAATTGTCCGTCGATCAGGCGGTACTGGGAGGGGCAAATTGATTTCCTGCTTCAAAACAAGACATCCATTCGTATAAGCCTTTAAGAAGAAAGTCTACCTCAAGTCGCCTAGATTAACACGAGACCAACTAGCCTCGGCTTTTTGTTATCATTATTATTATTATTATTATTATTATTATTATTATTATTATTATTATTATTATTATTATTATCACCATCATAGGCATGAGTGTGCTAATGACACACATTATTTGTTGCTAACAGGTCAAAGAAGAACGCAGGTTTTTTCTAGGCCTGACGAGTCAAGTAAAAAGAAATCAAAACATATACTATTAACATTCGTTTGCCTGGACTCCACGTCAGCGGTAAGTTTAAAATGTTAGTTGCACTTTAAAGGTAATAACATTATGATGAATAATTTTGACAATAACAAGAGTAATATTTGACACTATTATTATTATTATTATTATTATTATTATTATTATTATTATTATTATTATTATTATTTAATACAATTAGTAACAAATTTACTCAATAAAGATTATCTTCCGCCCACATCATTATAATCTTCCTAAATAAAATGCGAATATGAATAAAAGAAATATGTGTTAATATTCACCGTCTTAATCATCACTGTAACAAAGTGAAGTAGGTCTAACTTAACTTTTTGTATTCTTTTTGTATATGAAATAAATTCTGCAAATAACATAAATATTGTTGAATGTACGGTCAGCCTTCTGCTTTAGACTGTGGTACAGTACGATCACATGAACTAAAGTGGTCCCCTATTCCTTACCCGAATTCAGCTTGATACTAATCGTCATCATTTTCTGTATGGGATAGATATTTTGTAATAAGAGCTATTGAAATATGTTTAGATATCTGTCTATGTTGTGACCACAATGACGATAACATTGAGTCTATGCTTATGACAGTTTTTGCTACTATTTAAATTCAGACTCGAACACTAACAACAGATGGTTTGGCATGCCTCACGTCAAATGGATTGGGGTTGAAAACAGTGAATATGCCATTAAACTCAACACCAAAAGAACTCAAGACAATAATACTTCAATTATTCCCCAAACTTGTGGCTGGAGGTGGATTTGAATACCTGAAATCTTCGAACTCAAGAAAACGTATCGTCATTCCTCTCCCACAAGGCAGATATTGTGCTCGTGAGATTAAAGCATACAATCGTCACGGGAGAGTTTACTTAAGACCAATTCAAAAAGACCTTGATTTATCTCTAATTGATGACACGGTAAAATATTTGATTTGCTGTATCATTTGAAATTCTTCATAATCAAATTTTTAATCAAATAACTTCAACGGAATAATTTTTTTCTCAAATACTCTTGTTAAAATTACAACTAAATAAATTATAGCATGCATGTACCAGTATAACAAAGTTAAGTAATTAATAACACATATACAATTTTGTTGATATAAAATTGAAAATATTTTACCTAACAAAGAAAACAGGAACAAAATATTTGTGGTATCTGAAATATATTAACTTAAAATTTAAAAATTAGACAATGTTTGTATGACTACAGTTAGAAGGAACTGTACACATGAATTGTTAAATTATTTCTAAACATCAAAGGAGTAATGGGAATAAAAATATTGCAATGTCAGTAAAACTTAATGTATTTTTCTAATGTGTGTTTCCTAGGTCTCGGGCCCAAGGTGAACACGATATTCCTCCCTGCATCATAGATTCATGCTGGAGATAAAAAATGACCGATCTATTTTAGGTAATGTATAAACTGAAAAGTAGATTATTCCATTTTGTAATCCATTTGTTTTTTCAGTCTTCTAGAGTTGACGAGCTTCTGCAGAAATGCAACCAGTGTCTCAAATTTATTGAACAGAGTAAACTTCGAAATCATATTGAAATATGCTCAGCCAACTCTGCACCAGCAAATGAGAGGTATACGACCATATTATTATCGTTGATGTTTTTGTTAGGCTAGGTAATTTATCAGCATTTTTATGACCACATTCATAATTTTCGTTAATGAACAAAATCTGGACAGAATGGTTACATTTGTTAGTGTAATTCAGGCCGAGTTGGATGTTATAAAATGATCCTTGAATGAAAAGTATAAATTGAGTTGTTAATAAAGTCACATCCACCACTGCACAAGATGTGGTAATCTACAACTGTAAAGATGAAATTTAATTTGTGGGCGGGCATTCCAAAATAAAGTTGTCTTCCATTCTTCAATGTCACAAATAATCTTTGAAAATTTAGTGTAAACAATGCCCACAACACCACTTCTTTGTTAAGGTATGAATGATTTTAATTTCGATTTTCTGCACTTACAGTTCAATCCCGGAGTCCATAACATCAGAGGTTAGACCATCTTTTTTAAATATTTTATATGTTTGAACACAAGTCGTATGGGTTTTTGAAACAAACAGTGTAACATATGAACAATTCAGTGGTTGTTTTGTTTTCATTTTTATGTGTACTGATCAGGTTTTATTAAACTATTCAATGTTTTAAATCTAAATGAGAGTTCATGATCTTAGCAGCGTTCGTTTGTCTGACTCGAGTGTGGGCCCTTCCAGCGGCATATCTCAAAATAGGCTCCAAGCGTGAGTGTGTTAAGATATCTGCTTGATATAGATTTTTTTACTTTTTTTTCATTTTATAGCTATTTTTAACACTAGTCGACTGCGGTATTATAGGCCTACTTACACAGTATTTAAACCGCAATTTTTATTACAAAAACATATTTCTTTAAACTTAGCAGGGTAAAGGCGTTTGATAGTAAATGTAGATGGTGCGACAAGGCACAGTTTGTAATATCAGATTAATTTGTTAATTATTAGTTTGTTGCTATCAACTCGCAACTACATTCGAATATAAAGATTATATATTACTTTAGACAGGCTTGAATATTTATATGAATTGTTTTCCTTTAATTTCAGAATTATGTGTTATATGATCCATAACTGGATAGTACTTTCTCTACCACTTCAGTGAGTGCTATTAATTCAAACCTGAGACAACTATAGAAGTCAAACCTATATTCTAACATGAGACAACTATAGAACTATAGAGTATAGTTGCCTCGGATTCAAACATTCCCATTTTTAATATATTTTGATATTTAAAAATATGGAATATAGCATATAATCGCCAATTAGTTCATGTAAATTTGTTTTTTGAATATTGATGACATCCCCTTGTACCATTTTCAGGAGGACATTGATATGCTGTACAATCCAGACAGCATGATAAACCTGCCTGACACGGTTGGAATTTCAAGGCCTGCGGGTAAATTTGAAATCAATGTTTGTGCCTTTAAAAAAAAAAAAAAGTTTTAATTGTAAAATCTAGGAATTCTAAACTAATTTAACTTCCATTGCTCTTTGCTAACATTTTTTATAAAAAATTATTGTTCTCATTGCGATGTATCATTCACTGCGTTGTCTACATCAGCAGAATGTAGCATGTCATCATCTACATCAACTATCTTCACTGTTATTTTGAAGGAGTTATTTTAACTCCAAAGGAGTTATTCTGTACCTAAAAAAAGGTACAGAATAACTCCTTTCGAGTTAAAATAACTCCTTCAAAATAACAGTGTTATTGCCACCCACCAACAACGTCACTGCTGCAGCCACTGAAGAAAGCGATGACCAAACACCCACTGTTGAGGAGCACCATCAGACTTACAATTCTACCTACAGGTACACTACATCTCCAAACTCTTCTTATTATAATATAATTTGTAGTAGATATTTATTCTTTTTTGTAATAATTACCTTTCTAATTAATATCAAGTATCATCACTTAAATTTACTTTAGCAGGCTTCCACCAGGGAGTTGAATGTTGTTGTACAAAGACTTTGTTATAAAACGTTGATTATTTACAAGACAAACAAACACGTATAGTAAATTTTTACATTATTTTTTATTTATTCCGGAAATGTAACTATATACAATAGCTATAAAAATACAATTTAAAAGACCAACAAATTAATATTAAATGCATGATTGCCTATAATATAGTAGACAGATGTCTTAATTTTCTTCCTAAACGTTGATGAAAACTTTGTTAATGAGATTAAAAGGCGGTTAATGAGATATAGATTTTTTGAATATTGGGGAAAATATGGCAAAAGTGTAGATCATTGGATTTATCAATCTACAGTAATGTCAATTAATAATTTTTAGAAATTACATCAAATGACGCCGACATTATTATTTTTTTAATTACTTCATAATTCTGTGTAATCTTTTTCATAATAACAATAACACATGTAACAGTAATAATTATAAAAGTACAAATATAGTTTAGTTCTTTTGATTGAAAGTTTTAAACATTATTTAATAATAAAAAATGAAACAATATGTAACAGGAAATTAAGTGACACGACGAACAACGTATTATCTTAATTACAGTGTTTTACGCTTAATTTGTCAAAACACGATACAAAATCGAGAATTTAATTTTGGCCAAAAAAATAAATTACAAAACCCCCTTACGCCAATTGATTTTTGTGCACCCCCATCCCCTCCAGATGGGAAGAACCCTATGCCTCTGGTTAAGGTTGTGGAAAGCGAAGGACACAACATTGTCATATACTTTCAGATTTTAATTTGTTTGATTTAATTTTAATTTAATAATAATAACCTCTACTTGTTTATCCAAATTTCGTAGCAACTACTGTACGCTCCTATCGCAAGACGACGTCATAATATCATCGGATTCCGAGCTAGACAGTGATGACACCATCAATCTCATGACAGCTATAGAAAATAGCCTGCAACAGGAACAGTGAGTTAGCTCTGCATGTTTATTTATGGTGCTGGACATGACCTCAACCACAACCACGACCGTAAAAAAAGTACAATCATAGGTTTCAGGCCTTCTTGCATGTGTGGATGTAATACGGATCCCGGCCCGAGTTTTTAGAATAGACAAAAAAGGAGGAAAAAATATGTTTATGAAGCAGGCCTTAACACCACGGATCTAACACTCACTTTCACAGCATAGCACGATATATGTATATGTATATATATACATAATGTGTGTGCGTGTGTATGTGCGCGTGAATGGGTGTGTGTAGGTGTATGTGTCTGCGGTTGTGTACGTAGGTACGGGTGTGTGTATGTG